GTGAAGGTAGGCGATGGGCAAGGGAAGGGTGCTTTGGGGTGCTTTGGGATGTGGTTTACCCCGCTGCCGGGTTTCCGTGCGTGGCCGTGGTCCAAAAATGGGTGGTTTTGGCGCTCTGTGGGGTGCGTACGGTCCGGGAGGTGCTGCCGGTTCTGGGGCGGCTTCATCTGGGTGCATCCTGGTTGCGGGAGCCGTGGGCAGCACATCGTCCTTAAAAGAAAAGAAAAACTAACCTATGTGGCCTCAAAACTCAAAAGGCTGAAGGTTTCATCCAAGGGTCTTGGAAAGCAGAGGGCAAGTTGTAGGGGGCGAAGGATTAAAACTGAAAGCACGGGATGTCTTCGGGATTTCTAATGATATACCTTTGTATCATTTGAATTAATCTGTAAAAGTAGGGGTTTTAACATTATTTCTTTCTTTGGCAAAAGTCAAGTTTTGGCATTAAATAGTTTCAGCCAAGCTCTCTTGCCCTGAAACGCAGCAGTGTTCAAATTGAGAATACGACATGGGGTTTTTTTTTTGAGGAGCAAGTGCTATCATCATATTCAGCTACTTATAAAAGCACTTTCCCTTATTGCAATTTAATACTGAAGGTCAGTATTTTGGTAGTTGAAAATAATACTGAAAAGCAGATTGCTGTTTTTCATGGGAGTTTGGGGGGTGAAAAGTTTTGAGGAAATCCCCAGATTTTGTGCTGAATGGAAACTGGTTCACGGGCAGCAGGTCTGACCGCTCTGCCTGGTGTGCAGTGGGGGCTCGTGGCCACCTAAATGCGGCTTTTTATGCCCCAAAAGCCCCTTCCTTGTGCTAATGCAAGAGAGATACTCGTGGTCCTCAGTGCTCCAGTGGTGAGGCTGATAGACCTGGCTATAAATAAATAAATAGAGAGGACAGTGAATGTCAGAGATGGTCTTCTGGGGGGCTGTAGATTTGAGTATTTAAATATATCCAGGGTGACCTGACCTACTGGTCCCTCAGGGGGTTTTAGCGCTGCAGGAGCATTTAGGGATCTGACTCTTAATACCAGCTAAGATAAATAGTGTTTTATCTTCACACAGTGATTTAAATCCAGCGGCAGCCTTCTTTCAAGGGGATCGGGTGTTGGTGTGACTGTTCAGGGAAACTGAGGCACACAGGGGGATGCGGGTGGGCAGGGAGTGGGGCTGTGCTCGGGCTCCATCTCCTGCAGCAGGATTTTCGGTGGCTTTGCTGGAGGGAGACTGCCTCACTCCAGTGAGCATCACCATCTCCTTCAGCCACCATTCCTATATCGCTCTTACCTCTTCCTCGCACTCCTCAACCCGCATCCCTTGGTCCCCCCTCGTATCTTCCTCATCCTCCGGCCACCCTCCTGCCCCGCTGGCCCTTTTGGGATGGGGCTTTGGCAGCACCACTTGAAAATGCTCTTAAAATAGAGCCGGAGGGCAGTGTCAGGGCAGGGAGGGCTGTCTGGAGGCACCGCCGTCCCCTCAGGGTGGGGACTTTGCAGCCACGCTGCTTTCGAATAATTTTTATGATTTTTTTTTTTTTTTTTTTTTTTTCCCTCCTGTGCCGACGATGCCAAGGCCCTGCCGGGAGGTCAGCGGTGCACGGTGGGGGCCGGTGGTTTTAGGGTTCGCTCCGATTTGATGAACTTGGCGAGCACCCCAAGCCCAGACCCGGGATGGAGATGGGATGGGTGACCTGGTCCTGCGGTGCTGGGCTGGGCTGCTGGTGGGACTGAACTGACCCAGAGGGCTGAGGTGGTGATGGTGGAAAAGAGCAAAACTGTGATTATGTCTTAAAAATATTTTTTAAAATATGAAAAAAAAAAATGTTTTTTCTAATTATTATTTTTTTAAACATATATATATATATATATTTAAAGTATTTGTGTTTTCCCAGTGGAAGGGTAACGGATTTAACCCTCCCCTTAATCCTGATTAATCGGGCTTCTCCGTTCCGGCGGAGTTGCAGGGACGGGAGCTACTGGAGGGGTAATTTGGGGCAAGTTGAGGTCTTTCTTGGGATCTCACTGAGGCAGGCGCCTCTCGTCTTAGCTGGGGCTCCGGGCGAGCGCACAAAAAGCATCTGATAGCAATAAAAAGCACAAACCTCCCGCTGACAAGCCCGGGCTGAAGTCACCGGCGGGACGCGGCCAAGACACGCATTGTCCTCGCCGCTGCTGGGACTGATTAGAGCCGCCTGGCAAGCCCTGGTGCTGGGTGAGGGGTCAGCCCTTTTTGCCAAAAAACCTCGATCCAGAGCAAAAAAAAAAAAAAAAAAACCAAAAAACCAAAAACAAAAAAACCCAGCTTTTATTTTCCAGGCTGGGCTGCACTAAGGCAATGCTGCCTGGCAGACCCGATTTCCCCATTTTGCACCCATTTCTCCACGGCTGTGGCCGTGCTGAGCTTGGGACATCCTATATTGGGAGCGAGGTGAGATGGATCCCAGGAGGGAAAACCTGAATTCAGGGTTTTTTCCCAGCAAAAGCAAAGCAGGAGAGTCCCTGGAAAACAGCAACCCGCTCTGCTGAAAGCTTGCTGTCTCTTCAGCGTTCGATATTTATTATATTGTTATTTATTTTCTATGTGCTCGGGGGGGCTGAGCCATCCAAGTTCCTCTTGTCAAAATGTCCTTGGCAGTCACGAGGCTTAGAAAGTAGGGGGGGTGGATGGATGTTTCAGCTGGGATGCAGCATTTTATAACAAATATATATATATAAGGAGTGGTTTTATATTTGTGTATTTAGATATTAATATGTATAAAGAGTTTAAATATATATATGAAAATTAATATATAAAATAGAAGAAATATATATTTATATATATTAACCCCCCTCTTTTACTACCTCTTTGCCCTACTGCAGGCTGCCAAGAGCCAAGAGTTTGTCAAAGAGCTGTTTTTTTCACTGTTTCCCCCAGGTCCCAGTGTTTGCTGGGGCTCTCCAGGGCCATTAGGACCATGTGAAGCCGACGACCCCGTTGGTTGGGTGGGTTAGTTGTGAAGCAGAGATTCAGTGAAAATGAAAAATTTTGGCAGGGAGGGGGAAGGGGTTTTTTTGCTTGTTGAGAAAACAGAGAAGAAAACACCCTTTTTTATTATTTAAACATTTTTGTCTGTGTGCGCTTTTGCCTTTGGCTCACAAACAACAAAAAAAAAAAAACAGAAAAAAAAAAAAAAAACAACAAAAAACCACGACAGACAAACAAAACATGCCTTGCTGGAATTTGTGTGTTGATCAAGAGCTGCCATTTGTCCCACAAAAAAATCAGAGCTGAGAAACTCTTTTTTTTTTGGAGCAGGAGAAACCTGGCAGGTTGAACCCTCCACCTCCGCCACCGTTCTGCACCACGTCCTTGGTCATGTCCCGCATTGGTGGGGAAGGAGGGTGTTAACAGAGCTGGATCCTTCCTCATCTACGAATTGGCAAAGGGGAGCGGAGGGAAAGGGGACATCCCACCTCCTTCCAGCACAGGGTGAGGGATTTGGGGCGTGGGATATCCCTTGTCTTGGGGATGCAGCTGGCAAACCCATCCTGGGGCTCAGGTATCCCCAGGAGAGGTGATGAACGTCCAGGGGTGGTCTGCACCGTACAGAATACACGCGAGCTAAATGAAATATCCAGCAGACGCAGCATTTCCCAGCCTGGGGATGCTGCTCCCTGATTTGAATTTTTCCAGGACTACCTTTCCCCAGGCGATTTAAAATGGGCATTTAAAAAGTGCATAAATCATCCCGGTGAATCCAGCTAGTGAGTTAGCTGCGAACGTGAGTCAGAGCACATGGCGTAATTTGGCAAATATTAGAGAATACTGTGCTTTGTGTAGAAGCAGGGCGGCTTAGAATCCCGATTCCCTTCTATTTAGGGAGTTAAATCTCAGGTGGTGCCTAAAATTGGCTTCTTTCGTGGGGCAAATGTCCCCCCGGGGTCTCCATCTGGTTCAGGAGATCGAGACATCCCCTCTCCTGTGGGACGTCTCCTCCACGTGAGTGTGGACGGCAGAGCCGGGCTTTGGAGCTCCTTGGTGGTGGGGTGGCCATGGTGCTTGGTGGTGGAACTTCTTGGTGGGCAGCTCCAAGCTGGGCTTGGCGGTGGAACTTCTTGGTGGGCAGCTCCAAGCTGGGCTTGGCGGTGGAACTTCTTGGTGGGCAGCTCCAAGCTGGGCTTGGGGGTGGAACTTCTTGGTGGGCAGCTCCAAGCTGGGCTTGGGGGTGGAACTTCTTGGTGGGCAGCTCCAAGCTGGGCTTGGCGGTGGAACTTCTTGGTGGGCAGCTCCAAGCTGGGCTTGGGGGTGGAACTTCTTGGTGGGCAGCTCCAAGCTGGGCTTGGGGGTGGAACTTCTTGGTGGGCAGCTCCAAGCTGGGCTTGGCGGTGGAACTTCTTGGTGGGCAGCTCCAAGCTGGGCTTGGCGGTGGAACTTCTTGGTGGGCAGCTCCAAGCTGGGCTTGGGGGTGGAACTTCTTGGTGGGCAGCTCCAAGCTGGGCTTGGGGTGGAACTTCTTGGTGGGCAGCTCCAATCTGGGCTTGGTGGTGGAACTTCTTGGTGGGCAGCTCCAAGCTGGGCTTGGGGGTGGAACTTCTTGGTGGGCAGCTCCAAGCTGGGCTTGGCGGTGGAACTTCTTGGTGGGCAGCTCCAAGCTGGGCTTGGCGGTGGAACTTCTTGGTGGGCAGCTCCAAGCTGGGCTTGGGGGTGGAACTTCTTGGTGGGCAGCTCCAAGCTGGGCTTGGGGGTGGAACTTCTTGGTGGGCAGCTCCAAGCTGGGCTTGGCGGTGGAACTTCTTGGTGGGCAGCTCCAAGCTGGGCTTGGCGGTGGAACTTCTTGGTGGGCAGCTCCAAGCTGGGCTTGGGGGTGGAACTTCTTAGTGGGCAGCTCCAAGATGGGCTTGGTGGTGGAGCTTCTCAGTTGGTTTCTCTGACTTGGGATTTATGGACAGGGATGGGTGGCATGGGCGGGCGGATGTTTTCCCAAGGAAAGATCCCTCCTGAATGACTTTATTTCCTTCCTCCCCGCAGCTGATAGTCGAAAAAACGACTGACTACCCTTCGGCTGAGTACTCCCTGGTGGAGGATGTAGCCCTCCACTTCACGTGTTTGATGGACAGACTGAACGAGCAGCGCCTCTTTCAGCCGGACCTGTGCGACGTGGACATCGTGCTGGTGCAGCACAAGAGCATCTTCCCGGCGCACAAGGGGGTCCTGGCAGCCTACAGCCAGTTCTTCCACTCCCTCTTCACCCAAAACAAGCAGCTGCAGCGCGTGGAGCTCTCTCTGGAGGCCCTCACCTCGCAGGGCCTCCAGCAGATCCTCAACTTCATCTACACCTCCAAGCTCCTCGTCAACTCCTGCAATGTGCAGGACGTGCTGAACGCGGCTGCCGTGCTGCAGATGAACAACATCGCCTCCTCCTGCCAGGACCTCCTCGACACCCGCTCGCTCAGCCTGGCCGCCGACATGGCCCTGCCCGCCGAGGGCTGCGCCGGACCCCCACCCTACTACTGCGAGATCAAGCAGGAGGTGGATGCCCCCCATCCCAAGATCTACGCCCGGGAGGGCAACGACCCTTACTCGGTGCGGGTGGAGGATGGGGCGGGCGGTGGGACGCTCCCCCCTGGCCCAGCCAAGCAGTACTACAAGGAGGAGAAGGATGGCGGTCCGGGCCCTGTCTGCAAAATGGAGGGCGAGGAGTCAGAGGAGGATCTGGACAGCCAGGGCTCGTACAACCGGGAGCAGATCATCGTGGAGGTGAACCTCAACAACCAGACCCTCAACGTCTCCAAGGGCCTGGAGGGGAAGGCAGCTGCCAGCGAGGCGGCTGTGATGGGGCGGCCTGACGGGGATGGGCGCGACACGGAGGAGGATGGGGAGGAGGAGAATGAGGAAGGAGAGGAGGAGGAGGACGAAGAGGAGGATGCAGAGGTGGGCGAGGAGGAGGAGGAGGAGCACAGCGAGGAGGAAGACCTGGAGGAGACGACGGAAGAAGAGGATGATGATGATGACGATGAAGATGCGTCGGAGGTGAAAAGGGAAAAGGGTGGGCAGCCCCGCAGAGGCAGCCGGGCATCCAAAGCCACCAAACCTGCCATGGCAACCAGGTCCCAGGAGATGGCCAAGGTGGAAGAGGAGGAGGAGGAAGAAGAGGAAGGCCAGCGAGGGAGGAAGAGGAAAAAAGAACAGGACGGTTTGGGCCAGAAGGTGAAGCTGGAGGAGAAGCAGCACTACCCGTGCAAGAAGTGCCCCCGAGTCTTCAACAACCGCTGGTACCTGGAGAAGCACATGAACGTCACGCACAGCCGCATGCAGATCTGCGACAAGTGCGGCAAACGGTTCCTGCTGGAGAGCGAGCTGCTGCTGCACCACCAGACCGACTGCGAGAAGAACATCCAGGTGAGCCAGCCCCGGGGACGCCCCACCACGTGGTGGACATCCCACCAAAGCCGGGGGGGACATCCCACTGGGGATGGAGATCTCACGGAGGTGGGAACGTCCCACCAAAGGAGCATCCCACCACGATGGGGCATCCCAGTGGGGGAGGGACATCCCACCCCCCACGGAGGGCATCCTATCCAGCTACACCGTGGGGTGGGCTCACGATCAAATATTTTTGATGTTGCGGGTGGCACGTGGCAGGGAACCTTATTTCACCCGTGACTTGTATTCGGGCTTGGGGGGAGAGCGGGGCGGGGGGGGCGTCCCATGGTGTCATGGGACCAGAGGATTTGTGCTGGGGGACTGTGGCTTCCCCTTGGCCATCTGGGTGGAAACATGGAATAATTTTTTCAGGAGTAATTTTTCTTTGAGTTTAATCAGTTAATGTGGATAAAACATTGCGAACCCCTGATGGAGGCACACTCCAGCCGTCCCCACCCAGGCTGAAACCAGTTTAGCTTAATTCAGAGATTTGCTGACATGAGTTAAAATGGTTTTAATCTGCTTTTTGTGCTCTGTAGCTTGCATATTAGCAAGTTTCCGAATGCATTTGACATCCACGCGTGGCTCAGGCTTGGTGTGTCCTTTGCCTAATGCTAACGAGACCCTGCATTTGCAAATTGACTCGGTTAAATCAGTGCAATTTGGGAGGGGGGGGGGGATAGGTAGTCATCCCATCAAAGCAGCAAACGTGCATTCTGCAGACCCCTCCAACCCATCTCCTAATCCCTAACGAGCTGTTTTGCATGACGCTGCCGCTACTAATTAAAAAAAATACCAACTTCTGGAGAGCTTTGTCCATCATCCTTCCCCCCCCCCCTCCCAGTGACTGGATTTTAAATGATCTTGTGGCTCTCCTAGGAGAAGGTAATGCAACACAAGTGCTACTGGAGTCCTTCACCAATGGCACCTCAAATAAAATGGGGAATGAAGCAGATTTCAGCATCAGGGCATGTGGGGAATATGGAGGCAGTAGTGGTCTCGTCTTGAGCGGGTGAAGGAGCTGCTGCCTGCACTGACCCTTTGGTACATCTTCCTGAAAAATTCACAGCCCTGAGGTTGCTCTTTCTGGATGCTTTTTTTCCCCAAAATGGATGAGCGCAGCTCTGATGCCTGCGTGGTGGTGGCTGTTTTAGAGATTATCGTAAAGCCAGTGCAATTGAAAATGGGGTTTTCCCAGACTGTTTCTTCTGCCTCGTCTGATGGAAAACATGGGTCTATCACCTTATTGCTTTTTTTCCCCCCCTCTTGTTACCGCTTTTCTGGGTCATTTCTGAATAGGATGAACTACAACTGCCCGTGCGGTGACCTCCTTCTGCAGGAAACGTGAATCATCACCTCTCACTTAGTTGAGTGTTTTTAATTTTACAGATAGCCAAATTCACTCCATTTGCTCTGATAATATTGAATAACTAGATCAATATACCATGGAATTATAGCTGGATGGAAAAGCGATTTTTTTCTACTCCGTACCTTTAACGGACAGTCTTTGTTTCTTGTTTTTTGATCAGATCTGTGGAGGGACCATCCCTCTCACCCCGTTCGGGTCTGCTGACTGCTTTCCCTATTTTGTCCCCAAATCTCATCCGTAATACTTTAGGTGTTAGGCTTCACCTTGCTCCCTGTGATCGCTTCCCATCGCCATCCACAGTCCTGTGGACACCATAACGGACATCCTGCCTCCGCTGCCTGAAAAGTGATTCGTCCTTTGCTTTATTGCCTTGTTTCTCAAACTCTTATTTGGCCAGCTTCAGTATGGTTTTCCTCTTAACCCGTGAGAATTTATCTTCTCGTTTTTTTTTTTCCCTTGTTGGGATATTACTTCCACATTTTCAAGTCATGATTTTTTGCGGTAACTGTGGACACAGAGCTCAGCCCTCCAGGACGCTTGGTCCCAGCCTGGGGGCTCTTCCACTTCTGCTGCTTTCCTTCTACCTTGAATTTTAAAATTCCCTTGCAACCTTTTTCATTTTAAGTGGAGAAAATGGATATTGATGTGTCTCCGATATCAGGCTCTGGTCCTGAATTCGTCCTGAAATGTCTCTTAAAGTGGAGATAAAACTGTTCTGATCCATGTAAATATATATTTAAGGACAGTAAAAATCAGAGCACTACTCATGTTGATATTCAAGCATGGCGAGATAAAGAAGGTAAGTGTTGGGCATGCCTCTGTGACCCTAATTTAGCCTCTCAGGCACCTAAATATAAATATATATATGGAGAGATACTGTGGCTACATGGCATAATGGTATATTTTCCACACTATCACAGCCTCATTCGGTGCAAAAATTGATTGAAGCCCATCAACGAGCATCTGTTCCTCTGGGTAGGAGGAGAAGCTGGAGGAATCTCTCCCCAGGCTTAGTGGTGCCGCTCAGCCGTGCTGTTGCGAGATGCCTCCAAGGCATGAATTATTTTCTCAACCCATCTGCGAGGAGAAGGGATGGTTTTAGCCCTGTTGGCCAAGAGGAAGATGAGTCATGGAGAGATGTCGGGGGAAAGAGTTGACTCTTGGAGGAAAGAGAGACCCTTGGCTCCTGGCAGGGTCCTCGGCCGGGTGCTGCCCACCATCTCTGCTCTCCAGCAGTGGTTCCCTGTGTGGACCTCACTCTCCCACGTTTCCCTGAGCACCGAACTGATCTCACGTGCTTCAAACAGATCTCACACCAAAGTTGGAGCTTTTCCTGGGAACTTTCAGAGAAACGTTGGGCTTGCCGGAGCTGAAGCAAATCTCTGCTGTAACTTCTCAGGGGAGACTTTGCACGTCATGTGGTTCTGCTTGTGCTGATGGACTGTTTTTTGGGTCCATTTTGGTCCATTTGGAAAACGCATTTAGTGGTAAAATGTCCATAATATCTGCTGAAGACTGAAGTTGCACTGCCCTGGCTTGGACTTCTTGTTGTTCCTATATTCTTTGCAGCCTTCTAATGCACAGAGGGATGGTTTGGATCCTTTTTTTTTTTTTTATTTAATGACTTCATTGTGTGCAAGAATAAAATCCCCAGTTGGCAAAAGGGCCTTGGTGCGTGAGCTGCTGTTTATGCAAGTTTACAGCTGTTGATGGAGATGCCACATCCTTCCCTGGAAAGTCATTTTTCCCTTCCTCATCCGATGGGTAGAAATTTGAGTTTTGGAGGTTTTGAAGTGACAAGGTCTGTAGCAGACTTGCTGGTCTTTATGATTTTTGTTATCTCAGCTGTAGGTTCCATAGTGATGTTCCCTTCCAATGGATGAAGCTGATAGCCTGGTAAAATGAAAATCCCGGTGGTGCCTGAGCACGTTGCCCTGCTTCCCCGCTTACCCCCTCTCTCCTTGCAGTGCGTGACATGCGGGAAGGGGTTCAAGAAGCTCTGGTCTCTCCACGAGCACAACAAGATCGTCCACGGCTACGCCGAGAAGAAGTTCTCCTGCGAGATCTGCGAGAAGAAGTTCTACACCATGGCCCACGTGCGCAAACACATGGTTGGTGAGTGCGGGAGGCACCGATACCGCAGGGAGAGCTTGTTAGGGGTGTTCATCATTTTGGCAACGAAGGGTGTTTTTTTTTTTTGTCACTGTCACGTTGGGAGTTTAGGGCTGGGCTTACTCTTGGGTGAGCTTTCTCACATCAACGCAGGAGCCTTGAAATCTGGCCTGGTATTTAAGGCTGAATGTACGTCTGCTCAGTGCTGGGTTTGGAGCAATCAGGCGTGGTGCTGGGGGATCTCATTTATTTTATTTAACCAGAAGAAAAGACCTCAGAAGGGATCAAAGGAGGGTTTGAAGTATAACCATCCTTCTCTTGTAAAAGTGAACCAGGCCACACCAGCTTTGTGGGCTTTGAAAAGCAAATTGCACATGGCAACAGCGGTTGGGTCCCTGGGGCTTGCAGGCGCCAAAGAGATCGAATAAAAGGGGGGGTTTTGGCAGGCAATTAAGGGAGTACCTGAAATGCTGTTGCCGCTCATCTTCCCAGGGTGGCTTTAGGTTTGCTGGGGTTGGGTGCTGGTGTTGGGAGCGGCAGCCAGAACTTGGGTAGATGGATGCTGGAGGTGCGGGGAAGGCTCCTGAGCCTCTTCCCTCTGCTTCAGCTCACACCAAGGACATGCCGTTCACCTGCGAGACCTGCGGGAAGTCCTTCAAGCGCAGCATGTCCCTCAAGGTCCATTCGCTTCAGCACTCTGGGGAAAAGCCTTTTAAATGTGAGGTAAGGTCCTGTGCGTTGCCCCGCCCCGCATCCTCTCAAATGAGGACAAAAACGCTGATTTGGGGGAAGGGCTTCCGCTTCCTGAGGCTTCTCAGGTGCTTTGTGCCAGTGCATCTGTAGGGATGCTCCCATGTTCTTCCAAATTTTGCATCCCCTCTTGGCTTGAGGGTTCCACCAACCTTACGATGCCAGGATCTGTCCTTCCAGTGCCTGGACTTTGCATCCCACCTCAAGCCCATCCAGCCTGCAAACCTGGCTGGGTATGTCCCGAAAAGCCATTGGTTTGGGTTCTTTTGAGGGGAAAAAAAAAAAGTGGTTTCTGCACTGCTCCGAGGTGCTGGTGATTTGGGGGGGGGGGGGGGGGGGGGAAGGAATGTAGAGGGTGTTTTGGGTGCTCATCAACAGCTCATCCCCCCTCTCGCCCCCGCAGAACTGCAACGAGCGCTTCCAGTACAAGTACCAGCTGCGCTCCCACATGAGCATCCACATCGGCCACAAGCAGTTCATGTGCCAGTGGTGCGGCAAGGACTTCAACATGAAGCAGTACTTCGACGAGCACATGAAGACGCACACGGGTGAGAGCTCCTGGCCTTGCCCCCAGCCTCTACGGGCAGGAACCCCCAGGGGAAAAAGCGACGGGATGGGGGGGGGGGGGGGGGAGGCGGGGTTAGAGTCTTTGGGCGGACAGCAGGATGGGGGTTTTGTGGGTGGGATGGTGCGGTCACCGGCTTCTCGTCCGTCTCCTGATAGGTGAGAAGCCCTACATCTGCGAGATCTGCGGGAAGAGCTTCACCAGCCGCCCCAACATGAAGCGGCATCGCCGGACCCACACGGGCGAGAAGCCGTACCCCTGCGACGTCTGCGGCCAGCGCTTCCGCTTCTCCAACATGCTCAAAGCCCACAAGGAGAAATGTTTCCGCGTCAGCAACCCCTTGGCTTTGGACACGGCCGCCCCCCAACCCGCTGCCAGCCCAGCCCCACTGCCCTCCGGCCCCGGTGTCTCCCCTCTGCCCCTGCCGCTGCTTCATCCCCTTCCACAGACCCTCCCTCCTCCTCCTCACCTACCACCACCCCCTCCCCTGTTTCCAGCGGGGAGGATAAATTCAAACAACAACTAGGTGCCCCCCAGCCATGCGCCCGCACACGGACTGCTCTGCCCTTCGGGATCGCCTCCTCCCGGGGAGCCAAGGCTTTGCTTGCTCTCTACCCTCCTTCCTCCTCATTTTGGGGTTGTTTTGTTTTTTGTTTTTTTTTTTTTTTTTTTAATTTTTTTTTTTTTTTTTTTTTTCTCTCACCCGGCGTTCTCTGCAGAGAGGGGGAGCGGGGGGAAGCCCCACCTTGAGGAGCGTAGGTGTTGGTGGGGAGGGGGGGAAACCACAGCCCATCCGTAAGGGTGTAGGTAAAAGGCGTCGCTCTCTATTTCACCTTCCCGTGCGTCGGCTTCATCTTCGTGCCGGGAGGCTGGTGGGGCTCGGAGGAGCAGGGTGCCGTGCCCTCCGGGGTCAAGCTCACTGGCGTTGCGTGCCCCCTCACTAGCCCAATGAATCCCTGCCGGCGCTTCGATATTTATAATCAGCCGAAATCTAGCTAGTGGTGCTTGAATCCCTGTACTGTAAAGCTGGTCTTTCAATTCAGGCTCTTTTCCCCAGAGGTTGAGAGGTGGGCACCACAGAGGAGCCCCCGTCGGCACCGTCTGCCGGCCCCGGTGGCCTGCGGCGAGCGAACAGATGTCCCCCTTGGAAAGTCATCAGCCCGCTCTCGTTAGCAGCCCTCGCTGCGTGTTCCTTCCCCGCGACAGGTTTTCCTCCTTGATAGGTGAAAGCACAAGCACTGCTGTTGCATCTCGGGGCACTGGCAGCTTGCTGCCGGTTCGATTTTGGGGTGCCCTAAGGGAACCAAGCTCTGGCGTGCCCTTTCTGCTCATCCCAGCAGGAGCTGGGCTCCTGGGGATGCTCTGGAGTTCGGGGAGGTGTCCCTGAGGGAGCTCGCATGGCCTCGGGGCTGGCGGGAGGGTGGCCTGGGACAGAGGAGCAGGACGCCGCCGTTTCTCGGCAGAATCAGCCCAGAATAGTGCCTTAACAATTCGAATAAAGCCCTGACTGGTGGGTGAGCTCCAGGCTGGGTCCCGTTGCAAGTCTCGGAGCTGAAGGAAGACCTCGTTCAGCCTGATGGTGATGTCCCATCCTCCAGCTTGTTGCCTGCGTCGCTCTCCCAAGCTCCACCTCTCCCCGTACGGTTGGCAGCAGTTGGCCCTGCCCTGGCTTTGGAGGGGACCAGAGGGGACCAGTGGTTGGTTTGGTGATGCCCCGCGGTGTTGTCTACCGCTTCTCTGGCCACATTGTGTTTGTTGAAGTTGAGCTGGTCTTCAGTTTCACTTATTCAGGCTGGCTTGATGCTCCCAGAGGAGGAGAAGAGGAAGGCTTTGCTGTTACCTTTTTGTGGGACGGTGGGGCTCCAAAGCTGGGTCTCTCACTGCTGTGCTCTGCCCTGGGGTCTCGTACATTGGCCTGCCCGTGGCTGTGTGGTCTCCCTGCATGGGGGAATGTCCCCTTTGGGGTCCGGGAGAGCTGGGAGCACTGCAGGGGCTGCAGAGCATCCAGCATGAGCAGAGAGGTGTGCCAGCCAAGAGTTGGGTTGCATTGCAGCTGATGCTTTGCTCCCAAGGCTGGCGCCGGGGGAGGCATGCGGAGGTAGGTCAGGTTATGGAGGAGGTGGTGAGCAGGATTGTTGGTAGGCAAGAAGGGAGAGAGGACATTGAGCGGGCTGCAGGAGCCCTTTCTTGTTTGCACCTTGTTCTGGGTGATAGCAGGGTGCTGGGGACAGTGAGCCACATCTAGCTCTGCAAGAAGTCTTGGTGCTTCATCTCCTTGACAAAACCACTTGGGCAGCGTTGAGGCTGTCCCTGCAGAGATGGGAGGGTTCAGCCACGTACTCAAGGGCTTTGCTGACCTGGGATGTGTAGGAGCTTTAGCCTGGTAGGGACAGGACGGGGGAGCATCTGCTGTTCTCCTGAGTGCTCTTTGAGGTGACGGGTTAGGTGACTGGTGTCCCTCCCTGCTGAATGTTGCCCTCCCTGTGCCTGATGTCTCTGGAAAGCTGGCTGCTCTTGTGACTGTTAGCATGTTGGAGAAACAGATTGCTTTTCATCCCCATGTTGGTTGGGATCCTGTGGAGCCCCAGCACCACAATCAGTACCAGTGATCTCACTCTCATCTGCTTTGAGCAAAAGGAGGATGCTGTGGCAGAGCTGCCTTGCCATATTGACTTTCTCAGATAGGTACCAAAGGCTTCTCTGCTCTCCTTCCCCCATGACCCTGGGGCTTATTGGGATGGTACAAAACCTTCTCAAACACACACCCATGAGGGATGTGGGCACTCAGCTTTTGGGGTCATTGGCTTTCTGAAGGGACCATGACCCAGACTGGAAAATGTTTGCTTTAGAGAAGCACCTTGGAGGTGTTGGAGGGCCTCAATAGGGTGGTCCATGCTGTCTCCCCCTCCGCTGCCTCCCAGATCCCATCCCCCTCAGGCTCCCTTGTGCTTCTTTCCCCTCACACTCAGCTTTGAGACAGAATGGGAGCACTGTACCCCGAGGAGGGCTCACCTTGCCTTTGTGGTCTTCTGCGATGGAGCCCATCAGCCTGGCTGACTGGTAGACTCCCCGCAAGTAAACACCCATGCCAACTTGTGCTGCCTTGTACCACTCACCTGGAGGTGGCTTTCCCTTTCCTTGTCCCTGTTCATCCTATCCCAGTGAGGACCTGTCTCACGTGGATGTCACTGTGAGATGAGAGCACGTCATTGAGGCTAGAAGCCCAGCGGAAAGCCCAGTGACTGATCCCAGCCGCGTCGGATCCCCTTCGAGAGCCTGCTTGTAGAGCCACTTGGAGAAGTCGAGATGTGACCATGCACACAGCACTTTGGAGAACCAGATCCCTGCTGCTCCCTCCCCTCTCTAAGGCCTGGGCAGTTCCAGGAGTCCTGTAAGGCCTCCAAGCCCTTTTGTCTACACCCTTCCTCGGCCCCAATGTGTCTTTTCATGTCTGGTTTTCGTTAATGTACTAGGAGTTCAGACGAGTCGCTCCCGTAGTGCCTCATCCCACATCCATCCCAGTCGGCCCTGTTGGCATCCATTGGGTTAGATGGGGCAAGAGGCGGGAGAGTTGGGTCCGTTGTTTTCAAGCTTTTTATGTTTTGTTTTCTTGTTTTTTTTTTTTTTTTGTTTTGGTTTGGTTTTTTAATTTTTATTTTTAACTCTTGCACCTTAATCTCTCACATCCCTTTTTCATCAGACCGCAAGGGTGGAGAAGGGCTTGATTTCCATTACGCAGTTCATGAATATGCCGCAACGCAACGTTCAGCTGACAAGTCTGCCCATGCACCGAACCCCAGACCTGTCCAAGTTTGAATTTTTTTTTTTTTTTCCCTGCCCCCCTTCATTTGAACTCTGGGGAGGGTGGGAGTCACGTGGGGAGGGTCATTTTCGGTTTATATGTCCCAGGAGCCTGGTAGCACAGACCAGTTAGCCTCGGAATGTCCATGAGGCACTGCTGGCCCTTCGGACCACAGCCATAACCCCAGTGCGGTGGAAAGGTGATGATGGATGGACAGCCGGCGGGTGGGAACGGCTGTGACAGTGCAATAGAGATGAGCATCCGCTGCTAGACAATTCCACTGATTAAACTCTTGGTTTGCCAGAAGTCGAGAGGGAAGGATGGACAGACAGACGCCCTTTGTTCACACGGATGGAGAGAGCTTCCCCACATGCAGCCCCGCCTAGTGACACGTGACCATGATGGGACTTGGGTCAAACTTGCAAAGGAAAAAAAATAATAATTAGAAAAAAGATAAAAAATAAGAACAAGAACAACCTCAGTAGCATGGAGCTTGAAGGAAACAAATGAAACCCCAAACACTTGCCTCAAAACTAGTTTGTTATGCCTGGTGTTTGGCTCTGTATTATTTTACGGCATTCAGTATCGGTTGCCCAATCATGCCAAGTTAAGAGTGTATTGGTGGCTCTACTAGTGTGAACAAACTAAATGAAGCACTTTATTCTGTATAGATAAGGGAGGGTGGGGAGGGGAAGCTTGGATGCTTTTCATAGGCATCTTAAGTAATGTTCTAGGAAATGTATTACTGTTACTTTTTTTTTTTTTTTTTTTTTTTTTTTTATGACCATGTGTAATCAATATATGTTTATCTTTAACTCCAAGTACAGCAGTTACTCTCTTTGGGATGGTGTGATGAGGGGGAGGCTGAGATGGATGGGTTAGTCCATCAGCATGGGGCCAACTGGGGCAAGTCATTGCCTACCCCAGGAATGGGTGAGTCTTGCCCCATTGACAGCCCCATTGGCCAATTTCCAGGTGATCCCAAGAGGTGCATCAAAGCTGCCTTCTAGGGTACAGCTCACAGTCAGCCTCGACACCAAAGGCCCGACATGCATCCCCATCCCGATCCATCTTCTGCGTGGAGGTGCTGGGGCTGCTCTCTGGGCCACCCACGAGCAAGACAAGTCATGGTAGGCTATTTTGGGTTGTCCCATAGAGGCCAGGCCCTTGGCCATGCTTTGAAACCTGCTTTTGACCTCTCACCAAGGCACATCAGGGGTCACTGAGCTCTGAAAGTGGTGAGAGGTCAGAATTGGGCCTTTCCACTGCGTTCTCCCAGTCTGGAAGTGTTATGACTGTTACCAAAGAGGTTGCAAGTGGAAGGACTGAATCAATAAACGATTTGTCTTTTATAAAAGAAAACCTAAAGCTCCACCACTTCCTTTGTTACCTTAATTTTGCTTTGCTCTTTTCAGGCAATTTCGTGAGGAGTCAGAGCCCAGCAGGATGGATTTCCTGTGGCATGTTGACTGCTGCCATTGCTTCGCATGTGTTGACCTTGCATTGGGTTTGGTGGGAGGTGTGTGCGTGTGTGTGAGGCAACTAGACTGTTGTGGGGCCAACAAAATAAAATAGGCTTTCAGGGAAGGATGCTGAGTGGATAGAGGAAGGGTCTCCGTGCTTACAGCCGTGAGGGCTTTAGGAGGGGGTGAGGGCTGAGCTCCTGGGTCCTATTGTCACCGTGAGGTTTGTGTAAGGTATGAGCTGGGGCGATATAAGCTCCTCTATAGGCAGTGGAGAAACCAAGGAGCCCATCCAAAAGCACCCAGTGTCTTTATTGATTTAAAATGGAGCTGTGGAAGCCTTGGCAGCCAACATCAGCACTGATATTGGGAAGCTAACGGAAGAAGAGATGATTTCCCCCTACCTTTGGGATGTACCTACTCCTTCGTTGCTGGCCTTGCCTGGAGAAGATACCTGTGGGGGGACCTGCGCTGTTGGAGCTGTTTGCATCTGAGCTGGGATAAGTGCTGGGCAGCAACGTGGAGTGATGCCTCTGGGTATTCATCCTGGCATATCTTATCTGTGATTGCCTTTGGATTGAAGCAGCCTCTTGCCGAGGTGGTGGTGAACCGTCTCTGGGCCAGACTTTCGCTTGGCAGTGTGCAGCTTTGCTGCCTTCCTTGGGCCATTGCTGGCTTGCATGCACTGAAATTTGGCTCCCATTTCTCAAGCGATGTGATATTTCAAGCTTTTCTGGGTCATTTTATACAGCAGCTATTTTTCCTTTTATGGTTTCTTGCCCTGTGCTAGCAGTGGCATCTCCCACAGCTTTATAATGGATGTGAACCACACGGGAGCACTAAACTCCCAGTAACTGTATTCCCAACGGAGAGGCGTGAGGTGAGCAACTGAGGATGAGGACCAGTTTTAATCACCACTTCTCAAGCCGTTCTCAAGGGACCACACCATACCAACTCATCGAGGTTCAGCAGTGTTCCCCATTGACTTCAAAGGGCCCAGATTTTCCCCAGGAGAGCCAAGCAACGTGGAGGTAGGTGGATGGGGATTAACCCTCTCTTAGGAACAAGTGTTGACAGCTTTCCATTCTGTGTTGGGCAAGAAGAGCTCAAACAAAGGTGTTGGTGTCCGATCCCAGGCAGGAGGTGGTATCCTGCCTTTTAAAAAATTGTTACTCAATGCATGGATTATTTTTCTTCTTCTTAATTTTTCTTTTCTGCCACCGGCTAGTCTACACTTGGTAGATTCCCCCTCAATTAACTTGGGAGTTGTCCACAGGAATTTCTGCAGACCCTGGTGGAAGGTGATTTATTTTTCACAGTGCATTTTTCACACATTTGATTGTTTAAAAGGTTTTTGTTGCCCTCTTTTTTTTTTTTTTTTTTTTTTTTTTTTTTTAAGCTAATTTGTGATGGCCAGTCACCTTGGATTTATTTATTTTTTTTGTTGAAAATATTTCATTACTGTTCTGATGTGATTGTCCTCTGAGGAGATTATCCTGTAACTTTTTAAGCCCTTGAAATGAAACCAGGACCAGACTCTGGTTCCTTTACTCATGCCAAATGGTCTTTCCTTCCAAACATGTTTTAGTTTCTCCATGACTGCATTTTGAACTAGGTGAAGCAGCCAGATATCATTTTTGATACTATAATTTTCATGCCATTTTAAAGTTATTATTTTGCGAGGTTTCTATTTGTTCTTTTTTATTATTATCACACCTGTTCATGGTATCATGAGATCATGTAGGCATCCAGCTTCCTTCTAGTCCTCGGTAGGCTTCTAGTCCTCATATCTACGGAGAATAGCTGTAAGGATATAAATACTAAAGTTTCAGCTCCCAAATGGGGGGAAATAAGAAGGATAAAAGCTGGGGCTCTGCTAGGGCTTTCCAGGGGGCTGATTTGCTGTGTGTGTTCATTGTAGCTTTTGCTTGGTCCTTGCGGACATTCAGTTACAGTTCTATCAACATGCAAACACAGAGGATTTCTTTTGAAATAGCCTAATAATTTATTTTCAAATAAACCACTGGTCAGATGGTGTGGGCATCAGGAGATTTTTGCTCTAGCAGATCTTTGTCCTGCTGCCAGTACAGTCGTGTTTCTATCAAAACATCATTATGGATAACATAAAAAAAAAAATGTGCATTTTTCCTCAGTAGGAAGCTCTCTTTGAGCCAAACACGTCTGAGATCTCCATGTACTTAGCAAACTAGAATACTCTTAAAAAAAAAAAAAAAAAAGGTCAGAACATTTAAAATAAGAGAAACGGCATAAATATAAAAACTTTCCCTGAAAAACAGCGCTTGTTCAACCATAAGTGAGGACATTGTGATCTGTGATTGAAGATGAGGAGCCCAAAAGGCTGGAGATGATTGTACGTGGTCTCCCCTGCCCATCTCCCCACCCTTTCCTACCCTACTACTTGCATGACTCTTCCTCTCCTGAAGACCTTACCAACCTGGCCTCTCCATAGCCCAAAGTCAAGGTGGAGACAAAGAACTAAGACTATTTTCTTTTAATTGCAACTTCCAAAGTGTTTCTTCTGCCCAGCTCACATGCTCTTTTCTTTTATAACTGTCTCATCCCAACAACCCTCATCACTCAGGAACTCACCAGGGTCTCCCCTGGGCTATCGTGTACCACTTGACCTTGACCCTTCTTCTCCAAGGTGGACTCTAGCACCATGCTCACAGCTACTTTAGGTGGGGAAATACTTTATAGACCCCCCCTTCCTTGGGGAATGTCAGCTTAGTCCCTTAGGACCCACTTTCGGCCTCCACTGTTGGTTGGAGAGGTTCAACAGCAGTTGAGGAGATGGAAAAAAAACTGGAGAAAGAAGCGGAACAAGTGTATGACCTTTTTGTCCTGCCTACTGAGACTGGAACAACTCATTGCTCTATGCCTCTCAGTCTACCCCAGCTTCTTGAAGGCTCTAGATGCCTTCTCTAGTTATCTTGTGAGCATCTTCAAGTTCCCGTAGGGTTTAAGATCATTTGCCCGCCTTTCCCACTCAGCTGAGTAAAAAGGTACCAATCACAGATGCAACGTCTTACACAGTATCCAGATGCCACGTCTCTGTGATTACATGGCCTCCCCTCCCCACCCCCACCCCCCCAATACCTCCTTGCCCCAGATCCCCATGGCCAAAAAAAAAATAGATCACGCCTTGCTACATCTTCGTTAGGCGCAAAACATTGAGGCGCACGGGAAGGAAAGTGGCTCCGGAGGCATACTGGATCTCCCGGAGGACTCCTTCCCACTTCTTCTGCTCTTCATCGTATCTGGGGAGAGACAGACAGACGGTTACGGTGAGGAAAGCATCTCCTCTCCCTCACTTCAGCTGCTCTCCATAGTGGTGGGAGCCCTGGTGCACGGTGTGATGTCCCACAGACATTATTTGGCCGCAAGGTATCTGTGGGAGCTGCATGGAAACTTTCAGCCCTGATGTGCTCTGGTTTGCAGCGCCAGGCTAGGGGACGTGGACATCAGCATGTGGTCTCGCAGGGGAGGGTGTATTTTCCCATTGGGAAATGGGTTGATGGCACCAGGACTGAACATCCATGGTGAAGGCGAGCAGATGCCTGCTGAGGGTGCTCTAGAGCCACATATGTGAAGGACAGGAGCAGCTAACACTATATTAGCAGCCATCAGAAAGTGCTTTCTGCCCACTTCTCTGCTCACGTGTAAGACTATCTCCTTTCCAGCCCGAGCTCTGGCATTTCCCAGGGAGAGGATGCATTGCACAAGTGCTGCTTCGCACCAAAGGGGAGGTCTGGAACCAGCTCCAGGTAAAATGTCAATGCAGCAACAAAGCTAAAGGAGCAGATTTTCCCTGGTACGTTGCTATATGAGGCTGGGAGAGGTCACTGAGTCACCTAATGTGCCCTCCAGCACAGCACAGGGCAAACTTCTCACCCAGAGACCCTTCACTGAGCCTGCAGCCTTGGGCTGGGGTAACAACATCCATCTCACACTGAAGGTATCAAGAAAGACAGAAACTATCTGCTCCCTCGGTGGCTCTCACTAACATCCGCCCCTTGCTCCCTTGGACAGTCCTGGGGAAGATTGTCACCTCCAAACGTCGTTCAGTTCCGTTGGCACCAGCTCTCCTGACTCCGTCTCCACCGTGGCAAACCCTCCAAGCAGGTAGAGCACCCCAGCCAAGCTCACCAGGCTGACCGAGCTGCGCTCCTGCGGGAACTCAGTGAAGGTGTCCCACCTGCCACGTCAAGAGAGAGGACATGTTAGGGCACCCTGCCTACCCCCCATGCTGAGGCTGTCCTCAAGTCAGGAATTAACAGCTGAATTAACTAGTGACAGTTTAACTTGTGTAGGTCTACGTGGGATGGGATCGTACACCGACTGTTGTTAGAAATACCAGTTTCCATCATCATAGTTCAACTTCATTTTGTGGTGAGTAGATGAGCTATGAAGCACACCTGGCATGGACCAGCAGGTCCCAGTGGTGGGACTGCAGCTGCAAAGCCCACCTGAAGTCAGACAGTCTGTTGTGTTGGGTGATGCTGCCAAGATGAAGCTACAGCCCTGCAGGGAACCCAAGGACTGCACCAGTTGGTGAAACAGCTTTGAAGGTGAGCCTGAGATGATCCACAGCCCAATGGCAGAGGCACTGGTGATACCCAGCTGTCCAAGGAATACAGACTGGGAGAAACTGGTATCAGCAGTTGCAAGCAGACTCCAGAACGGTTGGAAGTTGCTTAATGTACACCTGAAGCTGCTCCTTGTGTAACTATGCCCCCAAAGTATGCTCAGGTACGTACTTGTTGGCGGCAATGTCATAGACTTCCACCGAGTTGGTCAAGCCGGAGTCGGTCACGCCAGCTGCCACATAGATTTTGTCCTTGTGCACAGTGGCTCCGAACAAGGAGCGGGCAGTTTTCA